GCTTGCACTCAAACAGAAAGCCTAAGGCCTTGTCAACATATATTTTTAAAAATTGAGTGGTAGGTAGCTATGCAGATATCTAATCAGAAGAAGTGCCTAATCAGAAGTTCCGCTATCTAGAAATAGTTATCAAATGTGTATTTAAAATATGAAACTTTATGAATGCATGAGAGAAAACCACTATAGCAATCGTCATGAAGATAGCATCTTGAATTTGGAAACTGGGGGATTTGTGAGATTTTATGTCATCAGATTTTTTGCTTAAGTCCTGCTGTCTTTGGGGAACATTATAGACTTGTGGATGTGCTTACCTGAAAGAAAGGGGGTAAGAATCTTATAAAACATAGGTTTTAGCAACAAGAACAAAGTGCACTTGTGAGGTTATGTAACCCCGTTATATAACTTTAACAGGACATGTGCTTGACACTAACTGAACTTACAACTCCTGAGTAAGTAAACAAATATATTTCTGTACCTTGTGTCACTTTATCTTAATGTAAATTGAGAAACCTAATCTTTTACATTTTTCACATGATTACCTCTCTTCTTGTGAGTGATTGTGGTTGTTCTTTTATCTCTTTTTTCTTCCCCCTTATTTTATCTTGACAACTTCAAACCAATTATGAATCCACCTTTATAAGCATTAAGGTAGATAATTTCAGGAACCACTGCCAAAAATCTGCCTAGAGACCAGGCTATTTACCCCAAGGCTGTCTGAGCTGCCTTAATCAACCCAAGACCAGGCTTACAACCCTGTTTGTCCAATTGGAAACGTCTAGAAATCTGATCCTTACCACCCACCTGCTCCCTGGAGATCCCTATCGTGCAGGGGCTAAGATCTGAAGTCATTGTGTGTAACTAATCAAACCCTTACAACATTCCTCAATAAATCCAGCCCAGCCAGATTTGCTTTCTCTCGAGCACAGTTGTTCTTCAGTAAGCAAGTGAAGTAACTTGTTTGCATTTGAGAGCTTATGATAAATCCCTCTCATCCTGTTGGCGGCCCATTTCTCATACCTGTATGCCACGCAAGCAGAGTTATATGACATCCCCCAGCTACTCGAATACGACATCAGTCAATGACGTGGCTTCTTTGAGGGCCATGCTGTCCGATGAGACTACTTGTTCTCACTGCTGTCATCTCCTGACCTCAATGTAGTCATTCTTCCTCATTCATTAAAGACTTACTATCCTACTCCCTGCCATCTCCCCCACCCCCACCCAAGTCTTGCCGTTACCCGGTTTGACTGTAGCATCCAATTGAATCACCGCCAAGTACCCAACAGTTCCCTGACCTTCTCATCTCTGGTGGCATTTTCTTTTACTCTCCTTTAGCCACCACCTCCCATGGCTGCATCCTTGAGAAATAGTAAATTTGATGGCTCATGATCTCACCCCAAACTCCCCAAACTTTTGACGACAGTTAATTCTTGGACTTCATGGACACCTCCAGGCTCTGACCCCTCTGCTTTCTCTCTGTCCTCCATGTCCATCCTCACTCCTCCTCCCATAGAGGCTTCACTCCCTGAACCATCACTCAGCCTTTGGAAATGAAGTCAGTCATCTCATATGCCCTTATGTCTCTCCCTAACCTAGGAAAACCTCAGCCCCAAATTAACAGGAGACCCTTCCACTGACCCTTCAAGAGAACTGAAAATCACCTTGTTGTTATTCCTATGGCAATGTTTAGTTGACATTAGTGGCAGTTGACTTTAAGTGATTCCTTTTCTATGGCTTCCTTCCCTCAGTAAGGAGGGCTGCCCAAGATTGCCCCATCGTAAAGCTGTGATTCTCAGAAGCCACGGCTTCCTTTCAGCTTTCCCAAGTATAAGGCTTGCTCTCTTGCGCTTTAGAGGCAAACCAGAGGATTTTCAGTGCTTGCTTCTGGTCTGTTCCTTCCCTTCTACCTTTGCCTCAGTCCTTTGCACTCTGGCCTCTGCCTTACCTCTCCCATGAAGCTGCTCCCTCCAAGAGAACTGAAAATTACCTTGTTGTAACTCCTATGGTAATGTTTAGTTGACATAGTGGCAGTTGACTTTGAGTGGTTCCTTTTGAAAAATTCTACCATTGTACACTAGTCTTAGCCCCCAGCTAGCAAAAATTAGGGCGGTTTAACTAAAAATAGCTTAAGTTGTTTATCATTTCATGTGGTAGATGATATTCAATGTATTATATTTCTCTTCCTTTCCATCTTATTACTACAATTAATTTTCCCCAAAGAAGGCTGAGGTTAGTCTGCACTAGTTAGATCAATGTAAGATATGCTATAATTGTACTTATTGATGCTTTGAATGTGAAAGTTGGAAACAAAGAAGAAGGAACAGGAGTTTAAAAATGTGGCCTTGGTGATAGAAATGAAGCAGGAGAACACGCAATAAAAGTTAGCAAAATCAACAACTTCTTCATTGCACATTTTTTTTTAGCAAAATCAACTTCTTCATTGCACATTTTTTTTCAACAACATAAATGCCAATGGTACATGTGGACTCCACCAGATGGAATACAAAATCAAATTGATTACAGGAAGAGATGATGGAGAAGCTCAATAATAGCAGCTAAAATAAGGCCAGATGGCCTTATATGGAAAAAGGCCATCAATTACGTATATGTAAGTTAAGGTTGAAGTAGAGGGAAGTTAAAAGAAGTCCATGAGAGGCAAAATACAACCTTGCATATATCCCACCTGAATTTCAAGACTATTTGACTCTTTGAACTAATGACAGAAGGCCTGACAAGCTGTGGGTTGACATTAAAAATATCACCACACAGGAGGAAAGAAAAAGGTCGTTTAAAAGACAGGAAAGAAAGAAATGATCAGAATGGATGTCAGAAGAGACTCTGAAACTTGCTCTTGATTGTGGTGTGGCTAAAGCAACTGGAAGAAATGATGAAGTAAAAGAGGTGACCAGAAAATGCCAAAGGACCGCTCAAGAAGACAGGGTATTACAATGAAACCTGCAAAGACCTGGAGTTTGAAAACCAAAAAGGAAGAACATGTCCAGCATATATCAAGCTGAAGAAAAAGAAACTCAAGCCGCACACTGCAATATTGAAAGACTCTAGGGCAAAATATCGAACCATGCAGGAAGCATCAAAGAAGATGGAAAGAATACACAGTCGCTGTGCCCAAAAGACTCAGTCGACATTCAGCCAGTTCTAGAGGTAGTGCGAGATCAACACCTGAAGGAAGAAGCCGGAACTGCACTGGAGGAAGTAGCAGAAAGCAAGGGTACAGGAGTTGACAGAATACCAATTTCAACAAGCTACTGGAGTACTGGATGCACTCCCTTGTCTGCCAAGTCTTTTGGAAGACAGCTACCTGGTCACCGGACTGGGCGAGATCCAAAGTCATACCCATCCCAAAGGAAAAATGACCCAACATCATTCAGAAATTACCTGACACTATTTTACATGCAAGTACAATTTTGTTGAAGACCATTTCACAAGGATACAGCAGTGCACAGACAGAGAGCTGCCAGCAATTCAAGTCGGACTCGAAAGAGGATGTGGTACAAAGGGTCTCATGCTGATGTCAG